CACTTGACACCGAACGATGACTATGACATGACAATCATTTGAATTCGAATTGCATTTCACGCCATTATTGTTATAACATTATCAATTCACACGGATGGTTGAAATCCGTCACCGCGTACAGTATATTTAAACTTCATCATATCTGGTTTAGCATCTGGTTAAAAATTCGTTGTTGAAAAAAGTCTCTTCGCTGAGTCACTTCTTTTGAGTTATATTTCAAGTGAGTAAATACACCACACTAAAATACTATACAGGTAGATGGGAACTGATTGTTAAATGTGGAAGGTGAATTTCATGAGGAGTTGATATTCAATATATCGATATTAAACTGGATGTCACACTCCATGGTTATCCAAAACGTTTCTACAACAAACACTCATAATCGGACAATAGTTTGAACTCACAACCCTGAGGTTGAGTGGTGATCGCTTAACAATGCATTTTCTCAAAAAAACTTCAGCTAGGCAGAAAAAGTTGTCCAGGTCAACCTAGCTTTTAGCGCTTTTATGTTTTACAGTTGGTTATTGTTCAATTGTCCCTGGAATCATCAGAAATGTCCACATCGCAGATAATAAAATTTGTAGTGTAGACTGCCCTGAGTTGAGCAGTAGATTTACAATAAACAAGACACCTTGTTGTGTTTTATTGCGTAATGTGTCTGTTCGTTTGTCGTACGATCGGATATTGAATATGATTGGTATAGAAGTGCGATGTGCTCATGGTTTGGTAAAGTCATCTGCTGTATTGGTCTAAGATACAAGTTCAAAAAGGTCTTGGTTGAAATGCCACGCCCATCATGTGAATCAAACCTACACTGGGGAATAGTACAATATCAGTATTAAACAAAGTGAAGAATAACCTAAGAAAAAGACAGTACGCTATCGTCTCCTTTGCGATACTGAAGCTGCAACCATTCAGTTGAAGAGGCCAGAGCAATACACACAAAACGGGTTTATTCCAGCCCTCCTAATATCATGAGAATAAACTTGTTGCTTCCTCTCAATCTGATTCTCTTTATGTTTGTTTGTCTGTTTTCTCTTTTACCTCTCGTATTTCGTTGCTACTCATTCAAATGTCATTTCATATTTGCCTTCATTTATGTGTGCATCGTGATCTCAACTTAAACGTAGAATTATTCATTTGGATTAGTAACTGTAATAGACATAATCAGCTCCTCTTATGCATTGACTAATATCAACAACTGTGATAGTGACAACTCGTAACGTCTGTTATTGTAACTGTTCAAGGAAAACAATTGTGCTTCACTGCATTCACTAATAACAACATCTATGATTGTGATGGTTGACCACTTTTGTCAGTACCCTCTTTCATTAATACAAAATTGTGGTATCAACTTGGTTCTACATCAAAAGTGGAAAATAAATTCTCCAAGAAGTGACATTACTCTGAACTACGTGTCCTGTCTCCATTTGCATGTGTGAATGGAGATTTTTCGTGAATATCACCAACATCGGATTCTTCGACATACTCACAAATTTTGTACGCGACTGCTCAATTCAATATGGATGCCGGATTTTTCCAGTTTGTCAGCGTTTTTCATATCATGAACGTCTGTCCATCACAAAAGCAAACGCCACATAAACAACACACTCTGCAATGCGATTAATCATTTAGGGACTCTTAGAGCACGCGAGAACTCTTCATGTTTGTTGAAACCACGAAAGGAGTTTATGAATAATTGTCAGGTTGTTTTCTGTTCAGCGATATTAAGTGAAAATCTCGATGTTGAACGCCCTTATCACCATCTTACAAAATTTTGTTTTATGCAGGATTACTCACATTATTACTACAACTACCGTATTAGAACTGACAATAAAAAAAGCAAACTGAACTGTTTAATTTATGATTGCTTAGTGTTGTTCAATCAAATTAACTGATCATCTTAGGGCGATAAACATTCTGAAATATCATTTCATAACCTCTAGGATGACTATAGCTTTACTGTCACCACTCATACACATAGCATAGCTTCCACTACCAAATACTGAAATATTATTTATTATTGTTGTTTATTTTCCTTTCAACTTCTTGGTATTTCTTTCGCATATTTTTATGTGTTTCATTTGTTTTTGTTGTTATTATTATTTTTTTTGAAATACTCCTTCTAAATGTTTGATTAAAATTAGATGAAATATTGTAAATATGTGCTGAAAATTCCACACTGTACCACTACTGTACTGTTTCTGGAATAAAGCAAAATTATTATTATCATTATATTATTGTAATAATAAACATGCATTCAAGAAGATCCAATCCACAAAAAAAAGAAAGAAAAATATTTAGTTTTCAAAAAATAAAGCGCATTCAGTTTTAATAACTTCTGAGCAGAGCATTCGAATTGGCACAGTTGAAGGTATTATTTTGTTATTTTACTTTTTAATCTGCATCTCCAACACTGTTCTGCACAGGCATAGTCTATCTTCTCCTGTTTGGAACTATTACTGTAGGTAATGGCATGTTTTCTGTATTCTCTTCCCAGCCTGTGCACCACCTGGAGAAAGAGAGAAGGAAAGAGAGATGAGAATCAAGTTATGAATATACACATCAAAAGCAGTTTAGACAAATCCAGTGTTCAAAAATGCATTGTATAATGGTTAGAGTGAGTTACATTTGTAGAATCAGACGCAATTGTGTAAGTGCCTGTAGATAAAGTACCAATTCTACTGATGTTTATGCTGCACAAAAGAGAATGCGTCTGGGAGAGATAGAAAAATGTTGACAAACGAGTGTGCAGAAAGAAACAGAGGTGGATTTGATATGCGCAGTGCAGAATGTTGAGTGCTATTACATGCAAGGTTAACGTCAATTGGTGCTTGTATGCGCACTCGTGTGCTAGATAACTGTGGGTTGAGTGAACGTTATTGCGTATTCATGTGTTTGTTTGAATGAAATTAGAATCTATGGCCAATCTTGCAGCCAGTTGAAGAGGATTTTGCAATTTCATTGACTGGCTTAGACGTTTCTTGACTTTTTACTGACATTTGTCTCTTCACAGAAATACCACGTTGAATATTTTATCAATGAGGTTACACATCTTCCTGCCCATACCAGCATAATTTCTGTTGGGAATTCTTCTGCTTCCACACTGGAATATATAAAAATATGGGAGTTGCGAATAGTTACGAGTATTTTCGGTATCATATGAGAAACGTTTAACCAACTTCCTGCGAGTAATCTTGTGCCTTTTTGACAACTATGTCAGTTAGCTTTGTCTAAGGCAGCACACCATCAATCCTACTTTCAGCTTCCAATGTTCTACAGGATCTGACTCAGCCTGATTTTGAGATGTCCGTGGAAGCACATATAAGGCAAACAATGGGGGAGGATAAGAATGGAAAAGTCTCTTTTCGGCGAATTCATTTTCATAACTGTACAATCGATAATATATATGGTTATTTTTGTTTGTGTGTGTATACAATAAATTTGTCAAAAGAAAATACAATTAGTAAGTTCGGATGAATTGGATGTTCATATAAGAGGATAGTAACAAAAGTGATGAGTTGTCATAAATGATTGTTAAATAAGAGTTACGTAATGGCATGAATAGTTTGATGAATGAGTTGTGCTCAGGGTGAACATGGAAACAAAATAATATACAGAATTACACAAAGGTTTCAAGTTAGAAAAATAAGCATTCAAACAGAAGTAAGGTCAAATCAAACAAACAAGCAAAAGTTAGGTCAAATCAACGGAGTTGTTACCATGCGAGTAGAAGTAGTTGGATACTTTTCTTTTGTATGTAGAGTTCTCGTTCCACCAACTGAATGGCAAAGGCTTCTGCGATACAAAGAAGACGGAATCGTACTGTCTTTGGAAGGTTGTTTTTCACTTTGTAGATTACTTTGCAGGAGGCTTTTCTTGAGATGGAATGACCAGTGTTGACGAGATGTTCGATTATTGCACTCCTTGTTACTATCCTCTTACCAACATCCAATTCATCTGAACTTACTAATTGTATTTTCGTTTGACAAATTTATTGTATACACACACACACACACAAAAATAACCATATATATTAGCGATTTTTCAGCTATGAAAATGAATTCACCGAAAAGAGACTCTTCGCTGAACTAATTTTCTTTTGTCTATTAATTTTCGGATGGGAATTATTCATGAAAGAATGGAAAAGATAAACTGTAAGAAAAGAGGTTGACTTAGACGAGCATGTTATCAGTCAAACGAAATACTTCCTTAAAAATCCACAAGAAATACGGCGGCCAACAGAGATTGCAAGAGATCTTGATGCTGAGACAGGAGTTATTTGATTTACTCATTTTCACTGTGCCATCAACATCAAAACCATAAGTCTACTAGAGTATTGTTCATAGATGAAACTGAAATCAACAAACTTTATGTTATAAGGATGGATTTAGTTATAATGGTTTATATACCACTTTGATGAAGACTACGTGTTGATTTCAGGTGAGCGTATATATTCATATGGGACGAATATAATGCGGAGCCTATTGTAATGGAGGTCTTCAGTTCATCGGGCTAGTGGGTGAGATTAGCCTCGTGAGACTACGGAAGACCATGCGAAACGAAGACAGAAATTTTAGAATTTACAGAGCTTCGAGGCGTATCAGTTCATGTCAATTACGGATATGAGTGTTGTTGAACCAACGCAATGTTTCGTTTTCAACCGAATACACTGAGCTTTGCAGGAGTAAGTGAATTCATAAAAACACATTACAATTATTTCCACCGCTACTGCTATTGTTATTATTGTTATTAATATTATTTTTATTGTCAACCATAGCATGAATATGACCACATGAATGAAAAGAGGTATGCAATCACTGCATGTGATACGATACTGTACACAAAAGACAACCAAAACTACAAAAAGACCTCAACCTTCTATAGAATCGAAGGCTCTTTTGAAAATGTGCGTTGCATTCTTGATAATTCGGTGGGCATATTTATAAGAACATTGTCAAGTAATTTAGATGTAATTGACATTATATATAATCGAAGACTCACAGATCAAGTTTACGAGTTCCTCCTCCCTTTGTCTTCTCATATTCGGTTGGTTGCTTCATGTCAACTTTCCATGTACAGTCTGTACCTTTAACAGAAACTTCGTATTCATTAGTCATAGTAAATTTAACCCCTCCAATCTCTATATCCTGTGTACCTTTAAATAAAATGAACAGAGAAACATTTTAATGAGTTACAGAAAAGACTTGAAATCTTTACAAGTAGCGTTAGTTCGTGATTGACGTGATATAGTAATCATCTAATGATCAGTTGGTTGAGATCAGGAATGAGAATTGGTATGTCACAGTTTAATATCTCGCAGCAATACAAAATTACATTCCACCTACATTCGTAGCCAGTTTTGTGTCAGTAGTAGTGTGTAAGTCTATGGCCACCCATGAATATCTAAACATCATGCAATGTCAACGATACCATGGTAAAATGTCATTCTTATCTAGAGATATACGCTGGTGAGAAGAGATTAGGCATTCAGAACAATCAACTGTTTTGGGGTTACTCCAATCAGGGAGTATCCGCCGAGATGAAACCTACGACTTTCAAGTGAGGAAGCAGGCTCATTCACTCTTCAGCCACTATGAAAACATCTAATAAATTTTCAGTTCCAACTCATTTTTCAGTTGACTACAGATGGCATGACTTCTAGACAATATCCCCGGTGAGAATCTGCCATTATCCTGGATTTCGTGAACACTAGTGGTCAAGACTTCGCCTCAGGACTTGAGACAGAAATTTACAACTCAACTTTGTTGATCATCAAACTCAAAATCCCTCAAGTCACTGCAAATCTGCACCTGGAGATTCACATAGTTTAAGTAATCGTACGATTTCCAACTGCACTACTGTCAGCGTCCTTCCGTTCCTGAGAAACTTTGATTTCGCTACACTTTTCCCTGTATAAATTAGCCAGACTCTACTAAATAACTAACTTACTAACTTTTATAACGACTCATCAACACACACTTTCACTACAGCTAATTTTAATGTGACGTTTGTTTCTTCACTGAATCAAAGTATCAAGTTTGAACATGAATTGATTTCACTTCGAGGATAATGAGAAACAAGCAAGGCGTACTGAACAGCCAGCTTCTTCGTCGTTGTTTGATGACTATCAGCAGTGCGTACTCAGTTGAATTTGAAACTAGGCGGAGATAAGTTATGAGTTGCGGTTGACTGAGTCAGGCCACATTGGCTGAACGATCTACGAGCTAGCTGCCTAGTAGCCAAAACGTTTTGATTTCGAGCTGCTATAGTGGGCGCATGCTGTTGAGGAATTCGAAATTGAGCTGCCAAAACAACTGTTCAGTATTTCTTCCTGTATTCCACCAGCTCTATGGAGTCATGTTGATTTGTAGTTCCACTAACTAAATCTTGAAAATCAACGTATTTCAGAATCTGAAGGCTCTGTATATTTTTTTATAAATTTGTCCGTATACAGCTTGTGAGCATGACATCCACGTCGCTGAGTCTTGTTTTCTCTTTCACCAGCTGATAGTGAGTGCTCTCTAGTAGATACTGACAATATTCAGGTAAACAAGTTAGTGACGAAATAATAGAGTCTCAACTTATCATGCTCCACGTACCGGATAATACATATTTAAAGAATCATTGCTCAAAGATTTGTAGCAATGTTTTGAATTCGCTTTCATATTATTCAGAAGGCCTACTGAAAACGAAATATGAAACATTTGAAATAAATTGATTGTGTGAGTTCGATTGTTCTCAGTTCAAGCAAGAGACCAAGAATTGAATTTTCGGTCAATATGCTCTACAACAAATCAAGGCAAATTCAGTTAGTGGATTGTAGTTTGAGAGGAAGTCAGTTATTTTGTTCATTATGTGAATTGACAAACAGCGATATATCCATACTCTAACTGTTTACTACTGAGGAGGCGATCATGAAATGTTTTGTCGCCGACATTGCCTGAATGGATATAAGAGCTTGTATAATACAGTGCACTAGACATTGAGAGAAAGGAATTCGTTACTGTCATGTTGAAAACTTGTGTACAGCGATCACTGTTATAATTATGATTGCGAGTAGAAGATATGCCTTGAACAGCACATCTCGTAATTGTCCTATTAGATATCTTCTTCATCGGCATGTTCTGGTGATTATCTGTGATCTGTCATCTTCTGAACTCACCCCACCACTCTCACTTATTTCAACCCATGACATATAAAGAACCGTTAGAATACGTGAACTACGTGACAAACACTCCGACGTAGTCTGAGGCACTTCTCTTGTATGCACACATCATTCCATCAGGAATGAGATCAAAAGATTCCAGGTGATGAGATTATCTGAGTCACTGTTCACTCCGCAGAACAGAATCCAGTCGACAATGAATTCTTAATTCTTCTAATCTGCAATAAAGAGCATCACTGCTATCTAATCTTATCATCGGTGAGGATTTGTTTTCACAGTCGTCATATATCCTCACTGAAATTTGTGAAATTCAACCTGAAATGTATCAGTCAGTCGTCAGTGTAAAGTATCATGAATTGCAAGGAGTGATTCATTTAGAAGTGATATAAGCGGTAAAACAATAATTAATTCAGTAATTTACACATATATATAGAATAAATTTGAATTACCTGATTCATCAACCTCTATGAAATAATTAACTTTAAATGATTCAGTCTCTCTAAAAATTACTATGCACAGACTGATGAATATGATGAGTTTCAATTTTGTCTTCTGGAACACCATTTTACTGAAAACAGATAACAAAGCGAAGAACCATGACATTCAATTTAAAGTAATTTGAAATGAATAACAGTGAGTGACTTTTACAGTTGCTTCGGATTCCTAGTGGAACATACGGAATGGAAAACACACCTCACAATTTCTTCTGCTCTACGGTCTCTAGCCATTCAGCCACTGCTGATTATCCCCATTTCTCTCCTACATATCATCGTCAGGCCCACACACAACTCGTCGTTTCTGTTTTAGCTGGCAAGAAGACAAGCATATTCTGCATGAACCGTGTAATAATGACTTATTGAGGTGGACAGTCGTATGGAACAAAAACAGTCAGACCATACATACAAACATCAATCATTAGTGCTTGCCAGCTAGCCAGCTGGACGAAGACGTCATTCATCCATTTGAACCTAAAATTATCAGCGACGAACCTGTTCCAACTCGATTCAGGCAGAATTGTTAATTCAGACATTCCAGTTTCTAGCTTGACTGTTCAATTGAGTCAACCCTCTGTACAAAGCTGACGATCCTCGCTCCAAATGAGCAAAACACTTATCTCGAGGAGAGCTACTTTGAACAAGCTTGCCAGTCAGCCAGGCATCCAGCTTACCAACATCACTAGCATACAGTTACACCTATCCACAAATACGTAGTACAATTCATCATGCATCCATGTGTGGCTACAAAATCCTAGCTACATATGATGTACACGGCAAGTTTTAACACATAAGCATAGAAGGAAGGTCAAAATTACATTGTGGTATGCAAAATGCTTCAAACAGCATGGAATCAGAGGAGAGGAAGTAAGATTTTGCACACGACTACAAACAGTAGTGTACAACATTACGAATAGTAGCATGGAATTTCGCATGAGCGACGTGAATGTCAAACTGGCAGCAGACAATATAGGAAGAGAACCTGTCTGAGTCGAGAGTCTCTGGATCGGACAATGACTGGGAACTCCATGCAGACATCTGTGCTTTTAGTGATCTTAATACAAGAAGAGAGAGGAGGATGATGGGGCAGCGAAAACAGGACTGCAGGTGAACACAGGGAGGACAGAGGTGATGAAGATAACCAACGAGCAGCAGCAGCAGCATTCAGCACCACGCACCACCAACAGGAGAGATTAAATAGATAGTAGCTCCTTTACTTATCTGGAAGCATCATTTCAGCTAAGGGTGGATGGCACGGATGATGATGTCAAAACCAGTCAGGATCGGAGACGAAATCAGTTTGGAAATCTTCTGTACTCACTATAAGAAACGAGATTCGTTTTTTCAACACGATTGTAAAGTTGATCTTTCTATTCAAGTCAGAAACTTAGTCAACGTGAAAAAAAAAGGATTTTCAGCAGGCTTCATACTTTTGTCAATAGCTGCCTTCTCTGCCTACATACTGGAGATCAACTGTATAGGGTGACCAGAAAGAGTAGGTAAGAAGCAAATCTGAAAATCTGCCGATCGTTCAGCATGTATGCACGAGAAAATAGAAATAAATCCGGCATAGTTCCATTATGGGTGAAATTTATTTTTAAAGAGTGGCGCAGGGGAGTGGAATCCAGATGAGGAGCGACGAATGAATCGTCCTACAGTGACATTGAGGAGGTCATGTGAGTAAGAGATGAGATTAAAAGTTCTTTGAACTGACTTTCTTAATTTCTTCGTAATTATCTCACCTGGTATATATCGCCCTTGAATCATGGCCGTATATAAAGTGGCTTCTTGTTTACATATAGTGAGTAGTCCTTTTCCGCTTACTTTGTCATGTGTTTTTTTGACAATTTTTTCGGGATCGCTATTTTCGATTGAAGTATCATATACAATGTTTGATTCATCTTCAATTACTTCTTTTGAGCATATAGCTATAACTGACTCTGTGGCTGAGGGTCTTCACTAAATTTTTTTTATTTTTTAAATTTTTTTTTGGCACAGTGTTTAGGACTCTCACCGACCATGCACATGGTTTGGGGTTCGAGCCCACGCCGGCGCACACCTGATATCTATGGTCGGCCTGCAAAATTTGGGCTACCGATATCCATGCTGAAAATTCCATACTAGTACCAAAAATACAGTGTGGAATCAAGCTGTAAATAAAAAAAAAATGTGATTATGGGCAATCGTGGATCCAGCTTCATAGGACGGCTGAAGACAAAGTGTAGATGTGATGTTCAAGCTCCATGTTCTATTCGGAAATCAAAAGAATAAAAATTATTGGTCTATCAGTTGAGTCTGAAGCAGAAATCAGCCGATGTCAAAATGCACTGTGATCAAAGATCTAGTTGATTATTATTTTGCTTTGAGAGATGATGATGATATGAACATAGTGTTTTGTTTTTTTCCACATTCAATTTGACACTCAGATATCTACGTGAACATAAGCTTATTTTAAACAACATCATTACAAACAGTCACTTCTTTGACTGATGACAA